CCACAATTAGATATCACTTCACTGCAGTCAGATGGCTATTATCAAAAAGGCAGACAATAACAAATGCCGGGGAGGATGCACAGAAAAGGGAGCTCTCCTACATTTTTGGTGGAAATGTAAATTGGCACAGCCCTTGTGGAAACAGTATGGAGGTTCCTCAGAGAACTAAAAATTGAATTATCCTTTGACCCAGCAATCGCACTGCTGGGTGTATACCCACAGGAAGTGAAATCAATATTTCAAAGAGACACCTGCACTCCCATGTCCACTGCAACACTACTTACAATAACAATAGCCAAGAGATGGCTCAACCTAAATGCCCATCATTGGATGAATGGGTGGAAAACCTGCAGTATATATACTCAATGGAATACTATTCAGCTATAAAAAATAAATAAATAGTATCCTGTCATTGCAGCAACATGGATGGAACTGGGGACCATCATGTGAAGCGAAGTAAGCCAGGCACAGAAAGACAAAGACTGCATGATCTGACTCATATGTGGAATCTAAAAAAATTTTTAAAGTGGCTCTCATAGAAGTAGAGAGTAGAATAATGGTCACCAGGGGTGGGGGAGGGGAGGAGTGGTGGATTATCGGGTACAAAATTATGCTGTCTACCCTAAGTGAATCAATGTACAGTATATGCATGCATTGAAACAACACAACGCACCCCACAAATATGTACAAATAAATGTTAAAATATAAATAAATAAATAAAGTAAAATGTCTAGAATGGGAAAACCTAGACATAAAATAGATTGGTGGTTGCCTAGGGCTAGTGGGGGAAGTGGGTTGAGGGGAAATGGGGAGTGACTGCTAATGGGTACAGAGTTTCTTTTTAGGATGATGTAAATGTTCTCAAATGATTGTGGTGATGGTTACACAAATCTGTGAATATACTAAAACCATTGAATTAGACACTTTAAATGTGTGAATGGTATGCAAATTGCATAGCAATAAAGTTGTTACAGAGAGAGAGAGAGAGGAGAGAGAGAAGAGAGAGAGAGAGGAGAGAGAGAGAAGAGAGAGAGAGGAGAGAGAGAGAGAGAGAGAGAGAGAGAGAGAGAGAGGAGAGAGAGAGAGAGNAAAAAAAAGACAGATAATAAAAAGTACGGGTGAAGATGTGGAGAAATTAGAAAATTCCCACATTGCTGGTGGGGAATTAAAATAGTGCAACTACTTTGAAAAACAGCCTGCAGTTCCTCAAAACTTTAATCACAGAGTTACCATACGACCCAGCAATTCCACTCCCAGTTATAGACCCAAAAGAAATGAAAACATAGGTCCACACAAAAACTTATACACAAATATTCACAGCAGCATTATTCATAATAGCCAAAAAGTTGAAACAACCCAAATGTCCATCAACTGAGAAACTGATAAACAAATTGTGGAATATCCACCCAACAGAATAAGTACTGATATACGAGTATGCTACAACATGGGTGAACCTTGAAAACATTATACAAAGTGAAAGAAATCAGACACAAAAGACCACGTACAATTCCATTTATATAAATATCTAGAATACACAAAAATCAACTCAAAATGGATTAAAGACCTAAATTTAAGACCCAAAACTATGCTAAAAAAACATACGGAAAATGCTACACATAATGGGAGTGGGCAACACTTTTTTTTGTCCTTTTTGAGACCGGCCGCACAACGCTCAGCCAGTGAGTGCTGTGAGCGCACCGGTCATCCCTATATAGGATTCGAACCCACGGCGGGAGCGCTGCTGCCCTCCCAGCACCGCACTCTCCCGAGTGCGCCACGGGCTCTGTCCGGCAGCACTTCTTTGAACAAGACTACAGAGGTGCAGGCAACTAAAGCAAAAATAGACAAATGGGATTACATCAAACTAAAAAGCTGCTGCACAGCAAAAGACACAATTAACAAAGTGAAGAGACAGCCTACAGAATGGGAGAAAGTATTTGAAACTCCACATCAGACAAGGGGCTAATATCCAGAATATGTAAGGAACTTTAAACAACTTGACAGCAAAAAATATATATATATATACACCACAAATAACCCAATTAAAAAATGGGCAAAGGACCTAAACAGACATTTCTCAAAAGAAAACATACAAATGGACAACAAGCATGTGAAAAAAAAAAATGCTCAACATCACTAATGATCAGGGAAATGCAAATTAAAACCACAATTAGATATCACTTCACTGCAGTCAGATGGCTATTATCAAAAAGGCAGACAATAAC